CGAGCGCGGATACGGGTCAGGATGCCTCCCGGGCAAACGCTCTCGACCTCTGTCCCGGCTCCGTGATGGTTGGTGGGCCTCGCGCCTCGGTGCTAGGTGCGGGGCTAGCCTAGCCGAGTCTTTAGCTGCAGACTCCAGTCTCGCCACCAAGGCCTGCATGTCCGGGCCGAAGAGGGACATCTGAGAGATGGGCAGGTCCAGCAGCTGCCTCCTCTCCGCCTCCCTGATATTAACCAGCCCAAGCCAAAGGTGCCTGGCCCCGACTTGGGCTGCTGCCATGGAGCGGCCACCCTCCAAAGCTAGCGTCTGGCACATGCGCAGAGTCGCCGCCGAGGTGGTCCTCGCCTGTGACAGGAGGTCTCCACTGAGCGCCTGGCCAGAAGAGAGCGACAAATCCAGGGCCCCCGTGATGAATGCCATGTTGTTAGTCAATGCGAGGACCTGTGCTGCATTGGCATAACATCTATCCAGCATCGCCAAGACATCCTGTCCCGCTCGGAGGGAAGGAGAGGTCTGGTGCCGGGCCACACGGATGCGGAGGGCTGCAGGGCCATGCGGACTGGATCCTCGGTGTCCGGGCCACCATCCACGGCTAGCGTCTGGCACATGCGCAGGATCGCCGCCGAGGTGGTCCTCGCCTGTGACAGGAGGTCTCCACTGAGCGCCTGGCCAGAGGAGAGCGACCTATCCAGGGCCCCCGTGATGAAGTCATGTTGTTAGCCAAAGTGACGACCTGTGCCGCATTGGCATAATATCTATCCAGTATCGGCAAGACATCCTGTCCCGCTCGGAGGGAAGGAGAGGTCTGGTGCCGGGCCACACGGATGCGGAGGGCTGCAGGGCCATGCGGACTGAATCCTCGATCACCGGTCCAGGACCAGTCCTGCCCGCTGCAGTACATGTCGTGCCCCAGAGCAGGCCTCTTGGCTGCTAGGGGCAGCTCACGTGTCGCGCAATGGACGAACGGGTCCATCCGCGGGTACAACGTGGGTTGTATCCTCCTCCTTCCTCGAGTGGTGGCACCCACAGAGGTGAAGTCCTCCACCGTCTGGATCCAGCGATGACGTCCGACGCCGGAGGGCGAAGGGAACTCGGACGAACAAGGAAGACATCTCAGAATGAAGTAAGTACTGTAGTAGATCTCAAACGGCGCCAGAGTGAAAGAGGGGGTGCGGCCTTGTGCAGGGGCATTTATAGAGGACGGTGGCTGGTGATTGGAGCAAATTATTTTGATCTCTCTGGCGTGTGACCTGGGGGTCACGAGTGATATCCCACTAGCGAAGTCCTAAGGGACGTAGCACCATGACGTAGAACTGTCATGGGAATGACAATGACAGGACAAGGAGTGAAGGACTACACAGGATTTATATATACACTAACGACTAACGAGACACAGGTGAGACACGAGGGGGCGGGGCAGGTAACCAGGAACAGGAAGTAACACAAATACAAACAGATATCAAACAGGAAATAAACCTAAAACCATGACACTTTTTTGTCTGAAATATGTTTTTGTTTCATTTGAGAGATTATTTTGTCTGAAAACTCTTTCTCCTGCTTTCAAGTTTTATTTCTTTTCCCCTTTTGTCCATGCTCCAAAATGGAAAATAAGGCATCACCAAACCACCACCTCTGCTGCTGCTGCTGCTGCTGTCTCCTGAAATAAAAAGTAATCCAGGCCTGGTCTTTATGAAGCGGTTCTGCCAGACTGCTCCACCCTGCCGGCGAACAGCGAGTGGGGATTCCATCCACATCTGCCTCTGCTCTTACCAGAACAAATCATGACAAAACACTGCATCAAGAGACTTTATTTTCTTTTGCTAACGGACTGAACTGGTCTCAGGTTGTTGCTCGCTGTAGGTGACGTTTATTTTAATGGTTTTAATTACAATATTCCAACAGGACGAAGTGAGGTTTTAATTATCTAATGCCAATCTTGAATTTCAACCGTTCCAAGTCATTTTCGTCAATGTCCGGATTCAAAAATCTGATTAAAAGACTAAAGTTTTTGTTATTTAATACTTAGACTCTCTGTTGCAAGCTTCGTTGAAAGTTTCTTCATAGATGTTGTATGTGTGTGGTCAATTTATTTATGACTATTTTGTGCGATATTGAGGTATTTTGACCAAAGGATTCATTTACAGTACGTTGGTTTCTCAGTAGGTTTTGATGAACCACAATTGACTGGGTTTTATGGCAGACTGAATGATCCTGTTTTTATAATAATAATTTTACACTGATTTGTATAAATACTTTTGATTGTAGTACACAAAATAAGAACACTATTCAGAATTGGTGCAGGCTAACAGATACTGTACAGATCCAGATCAACAGCAGCAAGAGCATAATTAAAGGGGATCCCCGTGACATAACTTGGACCAGTAAGAATTCAAAATGGGAAAATAGTTAAACCCATGACGAGAGGCCTCAAGGATTTTAATCTATTTCAGCCAATCAGGAGGGTCTAACCAGTGCTTGTACTGTTTCTTTTCTCAAAAGTAACTGGATACATTTACAATTTGACTAATAATCTTGCCTTGTTTTCTTTAGGCAAGGCAAGGAAGGGAACGTTTATTTGTAGAGCACAGTTCACACACTAGGCAACTCAAAGTTCTGAACAAAACCAGATAGAAACAATCACATAGGGCATTAAAATCATAAATATTTACTTACATTAAAACAAGTACATTGTCAGAGAAGAGGCCTGTCTTACATTTTCAAATTTAGTTTTGTTCAAATCAATATAAATACTCGGACAAGAGCATGAGATACAACATGAGGAAGGTACCACAAAGTAAATAAGAGCCAAAGCTCCAAAATGACAAAGTGAAAGATGTGAATTCATTTTTTAAACTGGCTGAGAATGCAATTAGTACACAGTAAAAGGAGCTTGTGTCGTTGCCATGTCCTGCCTGCATCACGGCTCACTCTGTGGGAGGGTGGAGACGGTAAACACTGCATCCACAGACAGATTTACACTCCCCTCGGTTGTCTTTCCAAAGCAGTCACAAAAACTGGCAAACGTTACTCTGAATACAGTAAATCAGGTCAACGAAGATGTCTCAGCTAACGCCATGTGAGCGCCGTGCTGACTGATCACAAATGTTTGAATAATTATAATGACAGAATGGAAACGGGATAAAACAGAGATAATGACTTTTGTTTTTATTCCGGTTAGGTGACTGTCTTACTGCTGCAAAAAGTGATGAAAAATATGTCAAAGATTTGGCAAAGTGATCTTAGTATGAGATTTGCCAATGGGACAAGCATAATGATCTTGTTTTAAAAAGAGATAAGAAATCTCTCCCTCAAAATGAGAAAACAAAGCAAAAGTTCTTGAAATGGCTTTGACCCATTGGCAAATATAGTTTTAAACCAGTCAGAATGTACTCAAAATAAAAAAATCACTCCATTCAAGATTTTTATTTTATTTTTTACAGTGTGTGAACCATGAGTGCTACCCATTCCGCTAATTTGGTAAAGAAGAGATTCTTATATATTTGTTATCCTATTTAGTAAGTAAGTAAGTAAGTTTTTATTTATATACCGCCTTTTCACTGCAGATCTGAGTCTCAAAGCGGTTTACAATTGTTAATTTTGGGCATTTGTCTCTCACTCCACACAGAGATGGGAGCGGGGTCGCCAGTATAGGAGGCGCATGCCAGAACTATTGGACATATTTTTAGTGGTAGGGGAAACCGGAGTACCCGGAGGAAACCTACGCAGACACGGGGAGAACATGCAAACTCCACTCAGAAAGGCCCTGGTCCGACCGGGATTCGAACCCAGGACCTTCTTGCTGAGAGGCGAGAGTGCTATCCACTCAGCCACCGTGCCGCCCATTCTTCTTTATTTGGAAGATGGGCAGTTGGGTAGATGCTTTTTGGCAAGCTTGACGTGTATATTTGTGGACCAACAGTGCAGATGTCAAACTCGATTAGGATCATTATAGGAAGCCTTCCTGGGAATGTCCCACCTAGAGGAAGACCCAGGACACTGATCTGGGACCATGGATCTGGAGTGTGTGTGAACAGGGAAGTTTGGGCGCCTCTGCTGAGACTGCTGCGTGACCCGGCAACAGATAAAGTGGAAGAATGGATGGAAAAATGCATGATGCGAGATACATTGAGACACAATGAAAATAAAAACATGGAGACGCTGCAGAGTGAGAGTGAGAGTGTGAGAGTGAGAGTGAGAGTGAGAGTGAGAGTGAGAGTGAGAGTGAGAGTGAGAGTGAGAGAGAGAGAGAGAGAGAGAGAGAGAGAGTTCCGACCACACATAGCTCAAAGGAAGGATCACTTTTTTTGGCATATAAGAATCCACGGAGGGTTTGGCTCTTTTTGCTACATCCACAGGTTCTAATATGAACATGTTGATTACTCAGCACTGGCCTCAGAGATGTTACAGATCACTATATGACTTGATCTCTCAATAACACTATACTAAGTAACAATATTAAATGATTAAAAAAACATACTTTAGTTTATGTAATATGTATTCCATCTACTACTCTCTCATCTTTGTATGATATTGTTATATGCCAGCTACCAACCTCTTATTTCTGTACTTTTATTCTAATCTTTCCATATTTCATAATGCTCCAAGACAATTCTCAGTGGGCTGCAGCTCTTAATAAAAATCATGTAAACTCACATAACTGCAGCTGTCTGTCACGGTTTGGAAGCACCTGGGTCATTGTATTGTAAAATATGGGGGTCACTTATAGAAATAATGACATTTAATTAGTCTTCAAATGACTTCATTTATCCAGATCCATAGATATGTGTATGTGCCACATTTACATACATTTGCTATTGCACTGCCTTGATATAAGAATATAAGAAAGCTTGTCTGACTCAAGACAATATTCGCTAAAAAGAAGTAATTTATCATAAATACATGTACTAAAATTGCCAAGAAAAAACACCACGGGAAAACTACAATGCATCATTACAGCTGCGTTCAAATCGATGCAAAACTCAAATATTACTTTTTCTTACCATGATTTCAGTCGGGGATTCCTTCAACAAATCCGTTACTTCTGCTGCTTCCTCGCTGTTGTTGTTGCTTCATTTTTCGCACTGAAATGTCCAAAATATTCCCAAAGCGGAGTGATTATGAGTGTGTGAGGGAAAACTCTTGCATCCAGGTCTGGGGCACAGGCACAGAGTTTTCCCCCCGCGTCTGAATGCGCACAGTCCCGCATAGAAACTCCTCAGCTCTGGCTCCTCCTCTGCCTCCCCTCCCTCTCTGCGGCCCAAACAAGCGCCCCACTCAAACTTTCCACTTTCCCCCAAATCAATGGACAATAAAACGGCTCTCTGTATCCAGGGAGAGCAGCAGTATAACAAATATTTGAGATTTAGAAGTTTCTTGTTGCAAAATCACTTAAAGCTTGGGTACGTAACTTTCAAACCACAAGTAATAGAACTATGTCATATCCCACTATGCCTCCCTTTCGAAACAGATTGGCTCTACTCTAGTTTTCAGATGCATGGATTTGTTTGGTCTCTGTCACATTCATTACAGGGCTTACATGGATGCAAACTATAAAGATGTATCCAAATCAATCATATCATGAAGACAGCTGCTGGAGTTATAAACAAATAAAACAAATTGCAAATAAACACAGTATTACCAACGCAATCGATATCAAGTTAGTTGGTAAAATATCTAAAGTAAAGTATATATACCTAGAATTACATTTATCTTTTAACTTTTGATACTCCATGCTTTCAACCGACTCAAACCGACTCAAACCGACTCAGGGACTGTATTTTGATGGAGGAGCGCCCTCTTGTGGCGATAGAGAAAACTGGATTGGTACAGTATGCGTATAGAAGTATAGATCATGGAATAGTCTATAAATACGACTTATATATTACCCATCCAACATCATCTAAAACTTGCTTTGATATTACTTTGGGTTTTACTATTACTTTTGAGTTCAATCATTAACAGGATGTCAATAACAATAAATTGTTTTTGGCTCGTGGTGCAAACAACTAATACACGTAAAATATTGATATAAAGACTTACAAACCATAAAATGATCTCCAAGCGAGTCACATGTTCCTTCAGATTTAGGGAAAACGTTTTTGGTCACAGATTCAAATAGCTCATTTTAAATAAATAATAAAATCGATGTAACGTTCCTAGCTTTCAAAACATTTCTTTTACTATCAGTCACATCCTTAGATCAGTGTTTTTCAACCACTGTGCCGCGGCACACTTGTGTGCCGTAGGATATTGTCTGGTGTGCCGTGCAAAATTCGCCTACTTTGTCTAAAAATAAATGTATCTGTGATAGGGGAGGAGCATGTAGTTGCAGCAAAAGGAAACAAGTGATGTTTGTATAAGACAATAATTTATTTACAAAAATAAAAATGTTAAAAAAAAGGTCCCATCGAGTCGCTGTCAGCTCAGGTTCCCCAGCTTCGACTCCTGGAGGCATAGAGCAGAGCAGCGGCAGCGGGGTGGAAAGCAGGCAGCCAACTGTACACGTGTATTCGTCAACAACAAAAATGAGCACCGCTACTTTCCCACACTTACCAGCGAGGCCGAGTTTACACTCGGCCGCCGTCAAGATTACGCCTCGCGGTGCTCAATCCGGTGGATCGTGTCTCCCGTGGTGCCGCGGACCCTGGAGCCAAAGCACATCCACACAGAACAGCGGCAATACACCCAAACGAGTCCGTGCGCCAAAGGCTACTTCACGAACACCACTACTCAATGCGTTTAGGTACTTACACGCGAAGACAGAGCGTAATCTGCCTCCTGCGGTAGTTCAGCTTCGTGGTGTTCTCTGTTGACTCGTGGGGCGATGGCGATGACTGTGGTCCGGGTCCCGGTCCAGGTTTAGATTCCGTGTCGGGTGAGGTGCGGTGCCATGCCATGCCGTGCCGGCCGAGCCGTGCCATGCTCTGCTGTGCCCTCCACCCCCGTGCTCCGTTCTGCCGTCCTCCGTCTGCTCACCGCGGTAAAGTGGGCCACATCTTTCACCTCTGAAGTAAAACGGCCCGCATCGAGAGAAAAATAGTGTGCGTTTTGTTGACTACTTACGGTAATAGCAGAACAGCCTTTCGGAGTCGCCTTTTCTCCTCGAACAGAAAGCGCGCTGAGGAGACTCGTTTTTGTGAATAAACCCTTATTTGGAAAGCATGTAAAAACTTAAAACGTTTGACGTTTAATTTGGTCAAAAAGGGAAATTTTCAGCAGCTGTCCATTTTTACAGTAAAGACTTGTGTGGCTTATTCCACTCGGTTCATGACCTCACTACTGCCTTCACCGCTGTGCCTACAACCACAAACCTTTACTGTGGAAATGTTGGGTAAAATTGAGACAAAGTACACTTTTTAGTCCAAAATACACAAAACTGTAAGAAAATTCCGGCTTTTGATCTACTGTAAGTTTTTACTGTAAAAAGGTGTGCGACTCATTTCACAGGATTCATGACCTCATTATTGTGTTCTACCACTGTGCCAAAGACCAGAAACTTTTACCGTGGAAATTTGGAGAAATATTGAGTTAAAGTAGCCATTTTGGTCCAAAACACCCCAAAAATGGTCAAAACATGTCACTTTTGATCTCCATCCATTTTCTACCTTTTAATCCATTTCTGGGTCAGGGGGGTGGCAGTCAGAGATGCCACCCAAGTCTCATAGCACCAGCCCCTCACTGACCCTCTGCAGGTGGTGAGTCCACAGGAGGCTGCTCTCTGAGTGTGAGCATAGCCTTGATCTTTCAGTGGGGGCTTTGGGCAAAGTGGGGTTAAGTGTCTTGCCCAAGGACACAACGACAGCAGTCATCAGTGGGAGTCGGTGGAGAAGGTGCAGAGGTGGGAAATGAACCCACGACCTTCTGGGCTTAAGGCCAATGCTCTACCAACTGAGCTACTGTCGCCCCTTTTGATCTGCTGTAGCTTTTTACTGTAAAAAGGTGAGCGATTAATTACACTGGATTCATGACCTCATTGTTGCCTTCTACCACTGTGCCAAAGACCAGGAACTTTTACTGTGGAAATTTGGAGAAATATTGAGTTAAAGTAGCCATTTTGCCTTTCACAGACCAGAGTCACTTTTGATCTACTGTAACTTCCATATATACATTCATTTTATTCCGCTTCATCTGTTGCCGGGTAGCGGGGGCAGCAGTATAAGCAGAGACGGCCAGACTTCCCTATCCACATACACTCATTATTCGTCATTATTCAATGGTAAACTAAAAATCCATGTGAAAAAAAAAAAACTTCTTACTGTTCTCAAGACAAATATTTATATGCAATTAAAATGCGATTAATTAATCACAAAGCCTCTAATTAGATATTTCTTTAATTGAGTCCCAGCCCTATTTTTTTATTTTGTACTTCGTTGATTCTTTAGCGTACCACTAGAGGGAGCCCCACGTACCACTAAATCAGGTGCACCTGATTTAGTGCACCTGACATGTCTCCAACCTTTGTCACCCAGAGAGCTACTTTCCCGGGACGATAAAGGCAGAGAGCTACTCCTTTAAGCGGCCCTGGGAAAAATGTGGTGATATATTGGTGTGAAAGAGCCTGATATTGGAAACAGTCATTATTTATCATCACATATCTGTTACTATAGTAACTGTTCGCAATTAACTGTTCCCAATTATGTAAATGCACTTATAGTGACAAAGTAAGTGTATTTACATAATAATAAATAGTAATAATGGATAATACATGTTGCAATATTCAGTATATTATTAGATTTTTTTCATTTCTAAATCCTTTGGCGAGCTACCTAGAAGGGGGTGGCGAGCTACCGGTGTCTCCCGAGCTACAGGTTGGAGACCCCTGCACTAAATGCACCAAAAATACTTTCCCTCGACTGATGTTGAAAAGCTCCCTCCACACTGAGGTCTGCACACCTCTCTGTTTACAGATGTTTTGTGCAGAGACTTCCTCTAATACAGACCTCCTTCACAAATGTCTCCAAGTCCACATCAGTCATAACGAGAGGACGGACCTGGTTGGGACTTGTCCTTTAAAAGAAGACACTTAGGACTTTACAGAAAGATCCCGGTTCTGGACTCCTGAAGGCAAAGAGGGGACGCCCCATATCTCCTGAGGACCACAATAGAAGCTGAAATGATGGAACAAAAGCTCATCCACAAAAGGCTGAAGCCCCACAGGGATGAAGAGACCTTTTGCTGCTCTAGAGCAAACGAGCAATGGGCAAAAAGTAAGAAAGTATTAGTTTGAGAGAATACTCCTCATTTTTTTTGTTTTTATGTAAAGACCAGGTGAACAAATTATGCTGACCAATAATGATTTCAATAAGTTTATATACATATTCTTGAAACAATATTTAGTAAGTGAAAAAGAGTCTCTTCAGTTTTGAATATGAAAATGATTCCAAGGAACAGTTGCAAAAACATTGTATCCGTGTGTCATCTCATTTGTGTTGGAGTTGTGTAGCCTCTTTGTCCATGACATTTACATTTGAATAAAAATAAACTCATTTGGGTGAGACATGTGTTCAGGTGTTTCCAGATAATTCTCTGTAATACAAGTGTATCCAACACGCAGGGGGCAGAGAGCAGACTTTAAATTGTGAGTGATCTGCCTCACTGGTTTAGACCTGGTTCAGTCCTGGTTCAGTCCTGGTTCAGTCCTGGTTCAGTCCTGGTTCAGTCCTGAGTGTCATGAGTGGTCAGCATGGTCTCTACAATTCGATGGATCACTGGTTTGGAAGGTTTTCTCCCCTGCACCAGAAAAGCTCTGCAGACACAACCATGAACAAGCGTTAAGGGGGTTCGTCAATCTATTCACTGTTGAAAACAGAACACGTAGATTGTTACTACAGCCTTCAATAGTTTCAGATAAATAAGTTTCCCTCGTTCTACGTAGCCCCCTGTTAAACACACACAACGCATCTTTGAAGATCTCATCGTCAACTTGGAGATTTGACTTTCGCCACTTCCGCTCGGCCCTCCGGCACTCTCTCTTCTGTGCCCTGACCGAGTCTGCTTTAGCGCCTTTTGCTTATTTGTAACCATTTTAACCTTACAGGAGCAATTGTATCCAGAACATTCAAAACAGTGGTGGTGACAGAGTTAAGTAATTCATCTACAGTAGAACACAACATGTTCTCAAAGTTTATCATCCCCATGAACAGTTCACCTGTATTTTCATTTATGTGTCTTCTTCTGACATGTATCATAATCATCACTATGCAAAATACTCCAGAGCCCTGACTGCTAACATAATGGATACAGGTGAATATTATCGGGCCTATCCCATGGATCTATTATAACAGGGGAACCTAGTGATGGTGGAGGAACTCAAAACTGTGTAGAGATGGACAGTGATGGAGGTGGTATCATTATCAATGTTTATATGAAAGCAGTTGTTTTATCTGTTACAACGGTGAGGAAACAGTTTTTACTTTAAACACACAATAAACAAAACAAGCTTATTCATGAACATCTTTCATATTACTGCTATTGATTTTAATAATATTAATAAAACATTTCATATCATTACCTGTAAAGTGTGAGATGGGGCACAGGGGTCAAAGTGAGTCAAATCGATTTAGTGATTTTAAAATATATTTTTGTTTTACCTTGTTAATACAATGTTTTGTCACTCAATTGCCGATTATTATGGTGACACGTGTTTGTCAAATAAGACCAGAGAGTTTTGTTCAAAAAGTGGAGAGGGCGGTTCGTTCGTAAAATTTGGAAAAATCCTCCTGTATACGTTTAATAAAGCCAAAAATAAGTTTGATATATGTATAGAGAAGATAAATCTACTTCAATAATTCATGTTTTACTAATTGTATGATTATTTCAATATAGTAATGCACTTGATCTTGTGTTTAAAATGTTCTATACAAATAAAGTTGCATTACCTGTAGATCATTATTATCACACATAAACATTGTTGGTACAAGATGTTTATCATTTTCTCCACAGAATTTTCCACTTCAGCCAAACGCTAACTTTGCATTTTGATATTTGCTAAAACAAAATGAAGTGAGTCTTTTTTCCAGCTCGATCCACAATGTTTCATTTGTCCACCAGGGGGCACTGTACACAGAAGTAATTGTTGTCCAGGTAAATGTATTTCAAATGATAAAATAATTAGGACAGCATTATAATCCTGTGATATATGGGCATTCAGAAACTGCAGACCGACAGAGCAACTGTTGCACAGAAAGTGACCAAGTGCAGAGATTGTCAGTTTGGTTTCACATGAAAAGTTAGTTTATGGAAGTGTGTGACTTTTTGCTCTACTTTCTGGAATGAGTCGTAAAACATCCTTGAAATTAGATTATATATTAGATTAAGATTAAGGCCAATCTTATTCACTCAATTAAGTATTATGTAACACGTATGTCAGTTGATTTAGAGAAAACTTTAAATTTAGAAAATACTGGTTCAGATCAGAGAAAAGTGCGACAATACTTAATAAAGATGTTTTTTTCATTTTGTGATGATAGATAAGTACAAGTGAAATAAAATACAGGAATATACAAAATATGTATATAAAAAGTTGGTTTGTTTTGCTGGAAGTGATAAGTAATAGTCCACTGTCAAAGTGTCATGCACAACGCAGTGGTGTAATATCCAGGTTTGAAACAGTGACAGAATTAAAGTAGAATGAGTCCAAAGTGAATGAATGTCCCAAAAGTGTTGGAAATGAGTTTCTTACACATCCACAGGATCAAAGATGGAACTAGTACTCTACAAGCTCTCCTGAAGATAAGATAATGTTCGGATATACAGGACAGTAGTAAGAGCACACAGGGAGCACACAAAATATAGAAAATAAGTAGCTGCTTTGGTTCATAGCTAGCAGTAAATGCTCCAATATCAGTCCATCAAAATACCTTTATAAATAGTGAAAAGTTATAAACATATAGGGCAGGGTAATAAGTAGATAAAGTGACATTCAGGTGACATTCTGAAGTTGCAGTATTAGTAATAGTAGTAATCTTTATTTATTTATATACCGCCTTTTCACTGCAGATCTGAGTCTCAAAGCGGTTTACAATTGTTAATTTTGGGCATTTGTCTCTCACTCCACACAGAGATGGGAGCGGGGCCAGTACAGGAGGCGCATGCCAGACCTACAGTATTGTACATATTTTTTGTGGTAGGGGAAACCGGAGTACCCGGAGGAAACCTACGCAGACACGGGGAGAACATGCAAAATCCACTCAGAAAGGCCCTGGTCTGACCGGGTTTTGAGCCCAAGACCTTCTTGCTGAGAGTGCTATCCACTCAGCCACCGTATTGCACATTGCACATTATTGCAGTATTTACTTATTTACAGATGAATGACATGTAGTGGCTCAGAAGTTCTTCCTGAAGCCCAGTATGGAAAACACCTGGCTGGTTCCTTGAGCAATTTAAGGCACACATCCACAACGATGTGTTGGATAAGGATGAAGACATCTTCAGCCAAACTCAGTCTCGTAAATAGATCCATGCTCGCGTCCCACCCATGGCTCTATGGAGCCGGCAGCAGCTCTGCTTATGGCAGCTACACAAAACTTCTGCCCGAGACTGCCGCAAAGTATCAATTGATTTGAGTTACTATGGTAACAAGGAGAATTTGAATATGGGTTACAAGTAACTTAACAGCTATGTTTGGAATTGTTTAGTGACCTCGGTCAGTGGGACAGGAACTTTCATAAATGTTAAGTAAAGGTAGAGAGACATGCGTTTGTTTGACAGAAACATTCATAAACATTACTGTAAATGCACCAGAATTATTCACAAGACTGTTTACCCTCAACTGATGTTGAAAAGCTCCCTCCACACTGAGGCCTGCACACCTCTCTGTTTACAGATGTTTTGTGCAGAGACTTCCTCTAATACAGACCTCCTTCACAAATGTCTCCAAGTCCACATCAGTCAAAATGAGAGGACGGACCTGGTCTGGGACTTCTAGTTTAAGCAAATACTAAAAATCCTAAATCACTTTTTAAATATATACTTTCATGAAGCATTATATAGCATGTGATAGTCTCTTCAGTTTTGAATATGAAAATGATTCCAAGGAACAGTTGTAAAAACATTGTATCCGTGTGTCATCTCATTTGTGTCGCCTCTTTGTTTCGTTCATTTACGTTTGACCAAAAATAAACTCATTTGGGTGAGACATGAGTTTCCAGAGAATTCTCTGTAATACAAGTGTATCCAACACGCAGGGGGCAGAGAGCAGGCTTTAAAAGTTGAGTGATCTGCCTCACTGGTTTAGACCTGGTTCAGTCCTGCTTTAGTCTGGGGTTGCTTCTGGTTTTGTCCTGACACTGAAGACTTTTTTTGAGATGGATCAGACGTTGCTGCTCTCCGTGCTGCTGAGTGAGTTTTAGTTACTCTTATCACCCATCATCTGTACTTAGCAGGTTTTCCCGACGTTTCGTCCTCAATCCAAAGGACTTCAGGGAATGAAATTAAGAAGTCCTTTGGATTGAGGACGAAACGTCGGGAAAACCTGCTAAGAAGTACAGATGATGGGTGAGAAACCTTCCTTTGACTAATCCCTGTACAACTGAGGGCTTACACAAACGTACTCTTAATTATATTCATCTACTCCACATGTATCTTAGTGCTGTCAAACAAATAAAATACTTTATTGCGATTAATCACATGTCATCGTTAACTTACGATTAGTCACACATTTTTCAAATGTAATGGTGGGGGCTATGGATATTGTTGCGAAGTAGTGAGTGAACCAGAGGGGGTCTGTTGTAAATGGCTGATATGACCAGGTGAGAGCACACAGTTTGCCAAGGGAGGACAGGAGAACTGAAAGTTAAATATTTTATTACAAAAATAAAATGATAAAATTGTTCACGTTCAGAATACACTAATACTAAAAGTCCATAAAAACAAGGCGGTTAAAAATACTTAAAAACAACAGTCCAAGAACGTGCGACGGACTGTCCTGGGGAGCGGTCCCTCTCCACACGCACCGGGTCACCTGGGAATACAAAACAAACGCCAGCACAGGGGTCCGACATTACAGGGCCTGAGGCTACGAGGGTGGAGTGTCGCTACAATACTTACACACAAGGCAGAGTTTCCTCTGCCCCTGCGTGTAGTCCACAACACTCCTTCACTCAGTCCCGATCCCTCCCGGCTGGCTCTTGTCCTGTGGACCCAGCGTGCGTGTCGTCCCCGGTGCATGTGGCGTCTCCCAATGGTGACAGTGGCCCGCGGCTCTGCTGCTCCCCTCGGCTCCGTACGTGCTCACACCTGTTCGTTTATCCGCCCTTTGTCCGCCACTTCATGCTCCCGATGTTGGGCGTCCTCGTCAGGTCCAAGGCGCAATCCCCTCGGGCCCACGGCCACGGCTCTGCAACTCCTCCGAACTCTCTCTCTCCGACCTCCCTCTCTCTCTCTCCGACCTCTCTCTCTCTCTCTCTCTCTCCGACCTCTCTCTCTCTCTCCGACCTCTCTCTCTCTCCGACCTCTCTCTCTCCGACCTCCCTCCTTGTTGTGTTCCTCCTCTGTCTCTTATTGCTCCGTCTCGCGCCAGGCACAGGTGTGTCCAATCATGCAGTGATTGGACAAAGTCTCGTGGATGGGTCATGTGATAAACGGTGGTGGCAAGTCTTAAAATAAATAAATACACTGCAAAGATAAAACCAATATAAAAACACTGCAAACACAGCACACAATGATAAAAATAAATATATAAAATGCCACTCATGCCGGATTACACAAACATTTTACTTGACAAGTCTAATCTTCTCAAATGTCTAAATCCCATCATTTGAACTCCTGAAGATATGTTTAGTTTGTGTTTTCTCCCTGTAGGTCAGCTGTGTTGGTCAGTGTCTCTGGACCTTCAGTACCACTTTATAGATAAGAAGATGTCGTGGTCTGAGGCTCAGAGTCACTGCAGAGAGCAGCACACAGACCTGGCCTCAGTGAACGACATGAAGGACCTGAAGAACCTGAAGGCTGCTGCAAACGGACGCACGGACGCCTGGATCGGACTTCATCAAACCAGTGACAACCTCACAGACAGGAAATGGCACTGGTCTCAGCCCACAGTCAGATACAAGGAAGGAGAAGCTCAGTGGAAACAAGGGGAACCTAATGATTATATAGGACCTGAAAACTGTGGCAGGATGTACAGTAATGGCCTGTGGAATGATCAATACTGTCATGATAAACTCTATACTCGTTGTTTTATCTGCTACAACGGTGAGGAAACAGTTCTTACTTCAAACACACATTAAACAAAACAATCTTACTTATTTATGACTTTTATATTAATCCTGTTTATAAACAATTCATTTTACCTGTAAAGTTTAAGATGTGAAACGTAAATCGTTTTAGTGATTTGAAAATGTAATTTTTTCTTTACCTTTTTAATACTATGTTTCCTTGTCATGATCTTATCCAAACTGTAATTTTCTTGCCTTAGAAACATCATGAATTAGAAAAAAAATGTTTTACTGTTTTAACTTTAAAAAAATCCAAATTTCGGAAACAAATAGTTAAATATTATTATATAAAACATTTTTTTACATTAAAAGCACAAATCCAGTGCTGTAACTGAACTCATCTGCTGTTTATCAGTTCTGCAGATGTGAACAGGAAGACTTTGAACCTATTTCTATTTAAATAGTTTAATAATAATAAAAACCCAACGACTGTAACATTTATCTCTGGACCTCAACATTTTCAGTCCTTAATAAAGATGAATAAAATAATATTGTCTTCTCTTGTTCCACAGACTCCTCCAACACTACTGTCATGATCTCTAACAAAGGAACCTGGTTAGAGGCTCAGCAGTTCTGCAGAACTAACCACACTGACCTGATGAGTGGACTGGACCAGTACAAACTGTTTCAGGAACAGAACCTTATGAATTTTTCAGAGTGTTGGATCGGTCTGTTCCGGGACACCTGGAGCTGGTCCGACAGAAGCGACTCCTCTTTCAGAAACTGGAACTCACACACATCGATAAATCCAGAGACAAAGAAATGTGCAGCACTGGGAGCCGAGGGCCGATGGGAGAGCGACGACTGTGGACTAAAGAAAAGCTTCATCTGTGAAGGAGGTAAGAGAACAAGCAACAACAATTCAAGTCATGGGGGAAAGAACGTGTTTTACTTCACTTGATTTAAGTCGGTTTGAAAATACAATATGGATGATAGTTTTATTCTTGGTATATTTCACAGACAACATTTTGATATTTTTCAGCTCCGAAGAGAAAAAAGACTTTGGTGAAAATAAAAATTTCCTCACCAGTGGATCCCAACAAATTCAGCTCCGAAATATTGCAACAGGTTTGTGTAGTTAAGACTTTGAATATTTTCTGAAACGTGACAACAAACCACTTAGCAACTACCCGCCCGCCGGCGGGCCGTTTTTATGTTTTTAAGGCTATATCCACACGAAGACAAAACGCGTATAATTTCAGAAACTTTTTCTGTAAACACGGAGTTAGCTCAGTAAATGTGTGCGTCCATATGAATGTAGTCAATACGCCTGAAAACGCTGTGAAACTATGCCAGACCTGTTGGTGGCGCTGTGACGCAATGACGGGATCAAGCCCAAACTTCCGTGACGGGAACTGGGCATGCGCAGAATTTTGTAAACAGACAACATGGCGAGTGGGCGAGCTGGTACTACATTAGTATAGACGGACGATGAGGTTGAACTGTTGCTTCGGGTCGCACTGGATTACAAAACCAACAAGCTACTATTAGTATTAGATAGCAATATGGCCTACGTGCAGGACTGTACAAGGACTCTACAAGGACTCCATGTTATGACTATGATTTGACTGTCTCTTTGTGACACGTATGTCTTTCGATGTGTGACGTGACAATGACTATATAAACTGTGTACTGCCTTTATTCTGTCTGAGGAAAAGAAACAGAGTAAACTAGTGGAACTTGAGAGAAACTTAAATAAACTTCCAGAGTTTGGCACACCACGATCCGTCTCTTTCTGCCTAATCCTAACAGATTTGGTGGAGAATGCGCGGCTCAGTGTGTGCCTTCTCTGGATTGTTTTGAGGGAGTTTGCTTTGTTTCTTTTTCTCGGCGTGGGAGAGCTGAGAGTGTCTGGGGCCTGGGAGCGGTCCAGCAGGCTGGAGAGGCGACCGGCTCCGGGACTCTTTTTCGCTGTCTCACTATATTTTTTTTGTGTCCTGTTTTTTGGACTTAGCGTTTCAAATTGTTTTCCCATGTCCGCATTCCGGGGATTTTTGACGTGCGATTGGTCTCTGCCGATGGAAACTAGTTCCCGGTACTAGTGAGCGCTGGTTCATGATCTGGAGACCTGGTTGGACGTGGAAAAGCTGATATTTGGTGGACTTTTGACGGTACCTGGGCCCTGTTCGACAAAAGGTAAGAGCGGACACCTGTTTATTCAAAGTCTGCTAATTGAGTGAACTAAATTATGGTCTGTTTTAAGGTCTGCCAAATGTCATGTATCTATAGATCAGATTAGATTAAAAACAGGTTCGCTACCTGACGGGGTTAAAGTCCCTTTGAGAAAGTCACGGGGTTAAAGTCCCTTTGAGAAGTCTCGGGGTTAAAGTCCCTTTGAGAAAGCCTGACGGGGTTAAAGTCCCTTTGAGAAAGTCTCGGGGTTAAAGTCCCTTTGAGCCTCGGGGTTAAAGTCCCTTTGAGAAAGTCTCGGGGTTAAAGTCCCTTTGAGAAAAGTCTCGGGGTTAAAGTCCCTTTGAGAAGAAGCTTCAGGGTTAAAGTCCCTTTGAGAGAAACCATGGTGAATTAAAAGTAATTATAAAAAGGGAAACGTTAAACACTAAAGAGTGCCTTTTGTTACTAGTGTGGAAAGTGATCACTTCTAGATTTGGATGACAAAAGTATAAAGAACAACATAAGTTATATTCGCTTAACAAAGTAATCTTGAAAGTTATTCTTCTGTATCTTTCTGCCTGTGTGTGCGCGTCTGTGTGAAAGGAACCCCCCCGCCCTCGCTGCTGCTGAGCTGCTGCTCTGATTTAAAGGGGAGCTACTGCTTTAGGAATTTGGCTTTTCATAGTAGTTATTCCGTTAAATTTGCTAAATTTGCCATTTGAACATTGTGTTAGACACAGTTAAACGTTTTTAAACACCATTAGGGAATAGAAGTTTTGAATTAGTATGTTTTTGAAACCCAAAGATTAGTACAAAAAGCTTTGCTTTTTTTTTTTTAAATCTGCTGCTTATTTTGTGAGTCCATTATTGCATCTCTGATATATTTCATAGCTGTTAGTGAGAATTTTTTCATGTATTTTTTATTTTAGTTACAAAAGCCGTTTTTCAAACATTTAAATTAGAATCTGTTAAAAGTGATTAATGATTTAGACTTCGTCTAAAAAAGAAAGAGGGAATTAGGCTGTAAAAGTATTATATTATTAAGTTAAACTACCTACCCAATTCACATGCAAGTGGTGACTTTTGTTTTTGTTTTGACTACACGCGTGACCTTGCTGCTGCTCAGAGACATGAGGAGGCAGCTCCGACGCACAATTGAGTTTTATTGAACCAAATCCAGTTTAGCTGGAGCTAAATCTTTTGTTTGATTTCAAGTTTTGTTTTAAATGTTTTTACAAATTAATGTTCATTTTTATAGAGATTTTTCATAATTTCATTTCATGGCGTCTTTCAAGAAACCCAAGGACGCATAGATAATTAATCACACAGTACAAAAGTATATAATACATGTTTTAAAGTCTAAAAGGTTGTTTGTTTTGAGTATAATTGTTGTTTTGATAACTTCTTTAGTTTCTGGTTTTAAAATGTCATCATTAGTAAGAGAATAAGTAATCTTTATTTACATAGCGCTTGGGAAAACCCAGAGCGCTCAAATTGTTTTGACTTCAGAGAGAAAAACAATCTCATTCGCATACTGATATCTATTGTTTTTTTAAATTGGCTGTTTCAAGGATTGTTTTTCAGACTCTGGCACACTGTGGGAGGGGTCACTGCTGGACACTGGACAGCGCAAAGCCCACCCAGCCACAGGTCACAGAGCTAAGAGCAAAGGAAAATGCCACCTCCTTGCCCCTCCCCACGCCACTGCAGAACTGAGTGGGTGTGAGAGAGACCGGGGCCATGAAAGAGAGGTATCTGGAGACGTGATGGGTGGAGCGTCAGGTAGAGACCTAGAGGGAGTTGAAAGTGTGTCCACGTTGGTTTACATCACCACAGTGTGACCTTTGAGACCTACAGGTGGTTCGGGAGTCTGGAGAGACAACCCCAAAATTCATACACACACACACACACACACACATACACACTCATACACTCACACATTCACATTTACATATAGATACATGAAAAAGCAGAACATGAGAAAAAAGCATTTTAAAAGTTTACTCCAATGTAAACACATATTTTTAATTGTCTATCACTTGAATCTTTAGTTGAATCAGTATTTTTTGAGACCAGAAATGTTCATTTGAATTCTATATTGTCATGGACTTAATTGACCTCTGTCCTGACACTTTTGATGTTTTGATTTTGTACTGTGTGAAGTAATTACATTGATTAGAATTAGATCTGATAAAAACACAAATTAGAGAAGTAAAAACTGTGCTTGCTTTTGTCTGAGAGACATTAGCAACAGCATGAATAGAAATTGTCTTTAAAGTAGAATCAAAGTGACTTAACCATAGAGAGTAACTATTGCATAACAAGCTGTGTACAGGAACTGAGACACTGCACCATTGACCAGAAGTGCATCCCAAATGACCTGATGTGCTTCAAGTGAAAAGACTGTATCTGGAGATCTGATGTGCATCTGGAGACCAGAACCAGAACCATGGCTTGGACCCTACTGATGTCCAAGATAACATCTCTGGAAATATGACCTGACCTGATGACGACTGAGACTCACCCTCAGGGGACCCTGAGGACCTGAGGATCTGAGAGAGAAAACTGGGGAGTGATGTTTATATTTTTGAAATCATACATTGATGAGTGCTAAATGAGAGAGATACTCATGATTCCTTCTTTTGTTTTTGTTTGTCCCTAGCTTCTGGACATCTGATGATCTATTGGACACAGACATTTGCAGAACAAGAACCAGCCAATGAAAACGTCTATTGCCGATGCTATTGCTACAACCAGAAACTGTGACCAAATGCAATATAAATGTTAAGTATTCAGACATCTGACAGACAAAAACTTTGAAAATGATAAAGTATAAGTATTGTAGCGTTTTAGTAGATGTTAAATAAAAGTAGAGTAATAAAAGTGAAATTAGCTTCTAATTTGAGACTCAGCTCGTTTTTGTCTGTGTTTTGACTGAATCTGCTGAGTTCTTGTGTGTCCAATAGTTTTTGTTTGTTTTTATTTTTGTTTGTTTTTGTTTTGATTTGTTTTTTTGTTTTGTTTATTTATTTACTTTGTTTTTGTTTGTTTGTTTTTTCCCAGGATAGAGGATAAAATCCACTGATATTGATTTGATGATTATGAGTTTAATGCATACATTTTCTTTGTTTTTTAATAATTTTTTAAAGTTTTTTTAAATTTTTTTAGATTTTTTTTCTTTTTCCATTTTATTGATTGATCCAATTGAGTGATCACATGTGATTATGTGATCAAAGGGGAGAGTATTAGTATTAGATAGCAATATGGCCTACGTGCAGGACTGTACAAGGACTCTACAAGGACTCCATGTTATGACTATGATTTGACTGTCTCTTTGTGACACGTATGTCTTTCGATGTGTGACGTGACAATGACTATATAAACTGTGTACTGCCTTTATTCTGTCTGAGGAAAAGAAACAGAGTAAACCAGTGGAACTTGAGAGAAACTTAAATAAACTTCCAGAGTTTGGCACACCACGATCCGTCTCTGTCTGCTAAATCCTAACACTACATTGTTGTTGTCATTATTTTCTGAGTGCGGCGCATGCGTGCTTTAACAAGAGGCGGGGCGATTACGCAAGCGTCTCAGATACATTGCGGAGAGGCAGTAACCACGGAGCGGCATATACGGAGTTTTGAAATCTTTCCACTCTGGGACCTAGTTTCAAAAATGTTCGTTTACACCCCCCCAAAACGCCGGCCTCGTATGATACACTGGATTGATAAAGTATTTTTGCGTTTAGGCCTGAGCTTGACTTCGTGTGGACAGGGCCTAAATGTTCTGCTGGCAATAGCAGATGTATTTTGAACACCAAACCCCAAAAGCTGTATATCATTTTAAAGCTCATTTTCTTATCTACATTTATATACAAGTGTAAACTACATCAGACTTTGCATTCAAAAGATATAACACATAATGTGGGCACAAAATAAATCAATTCCGAAATAGCTTTTTACCTTTGGGCTTGTGCTGTACAAATAAATCAGCTCTCCTCCCAGCTTGCAATACATCATTCTCTCTGGAACAGTCCAAAGGAAAATTATATCCACTTGTATTTCCCAAAGTAAAATCCATTCTGCAGAAATAATCCAAAAATGTGCATTTATCTTTAGCGAAAAAAACGAAAAAAAAGAGCACAGATGTTACTATTTCACTTTTAACGGACTTTTAGCTTTGTTTTTCACCCAAACATCTGGTATCTACGTGTTCCTTAGCTCCTTATCTTTCAAATGAGACTACTCCCGAAAAGCTAGACCAATTTTTGGGTCTGCAAGAGCCGCTGCAAGTACAGCTTGCGATGCTGTTTGCGCATGCTTCACTGATCTTTTGTGGGGTCCCAACTTGTTTACGTTTACTTCCGGGATTTACGATTGACATGTCCTTGTAGCCAATGAGGAAAGCTTTCGAACAAGGGGTGGGACAATGGTGTCCTGTCTTATGTTGTCCCTGGACAATTGTGCGTCATGGAAGCCAAAAGACGCTCCCGAAGCTGCAATGAATTTACACTCATAACTTTGACATTTAAAAAAGAAAAACACACATAGATTAGTAACTTATAAGTACCAATAATAAAAAATATTGTTTTTATGATGATTAAATGTAAGTAAAGATATTTACAAATGTGCACTACTTGATGAAAAGGAGAAACTGCCTAAAAACTATAAAACTTAGAAGTCTGAAACTTTAGACAGTTGTTGTCAACAACACAATGAACAGAGGGTTTGAATATTGTGAACTTACAATGAAGTCTGCCTTTTTTAGGGCCTTTAGCAATTGAAAATGTTAGGCGAGGCTAAAAAAATTGGGTTTTTTTCCCTAACTTCAAAGGATGCAGAGGAAAATAGGAATGACAAACATTATTTTAGTGTTTTTTTACATAAACTAGAAGGCTCTAGCTTTAAAATGATGCATCACACAAGCATGTGAGATGTAAGATGTGTTTTTAAATAAGCAAAGACATTTGGGTATGCCCAACCATTGTGCACGAGCCAAAATGAGGCGGATGTTAAGAGGTTAAAACAGGAGAATTCAGAATCATCTTCTTCCTTCAGTGAAACTATGAAGAGGCTTCTCATGATCACAGATGTGAAAATGAAGGGAATAAACCCGTCACTATAGGGATGCACACATATGGACATTAGATGCAATATAATACTGATATTTTCAAACCAAAATTCACATTTCCAACAGGAAAATAACATTTACCTTCACCTTACGTACATTTCTTTACTTGGAATAATGAACCTTCTCCATTTTCTTTAGCTGCAAGCACAGTTTGAAGCGAACAACCTGGGAGACGTCAAACTGACCTGGAAGAAAGACGAAAACCAACCCGTTTTCAAAAAGCAAAAATCTTCCACAGAGAAAAAATCTTCCTCAAAGAAAAAATCTTCCTCAAAGAAAACTGAACTTTAAATGTGTGGTGCATTCGATTGAGCAGAGTGTGTGTCATGTTTCTCAGAGATGAACGCTCTAGAAGCAGTTTTTCATCACGTGTGAGTGTATTGTATGTATTTACTTGTGGGTGAGGGGTTCCTTGTTCATGGGATCAGGCCTAAAGAGCTGCAAATACAACATCTCTGCACCTCCTGCTGATTCTTTATCATCTAGTATATTTACATCCATTGTGTGTGGTGTCATTTGTTCCATTCATTTAATCGACCCAAAAAAAAGTGTGATAATGTTGTTTTTATGATGATGTGTTTAATTGTGTGGTTAACTAAAAGGTTTTTCATCTGCACTTTTCTTTTAAAGATAAATCTACTTCAATAATTTGTGTTTTTCTTGCTGTATGATTATTTTAAAATAGTTTGTGATGAACTTTGATTTCCTGAACGATAACTTTGCATTTTGATGTTTTCTATAACAAAATAAAGCTAATCTTTTGCCAGCTTGATCCACAATGCTTCATTTGTCCAACAGGGGGAGCTGTACATAGGTTAACTTAAAGAGTAAAATTATATGTGGTAGAAGTAGTTCTTGTCCAGGTAAATCTAATTCAAAGTGTAAAATAATTAGAACAACATTATGATTGTTTATTTCCCATACTTTTTATGATATAGGCTCATTATGAACCGATCTATGAGTTTTAAAGTGTCAGTTTTTTCCCCAGTGGCTGCATGAGTGGTCAGCATGGTCTCTACAATTCTATGGATCACTGGTTTGGAAGGTTTTCTCCCCCGCACCAGAAAACCTACAGAACAATGGATCCTGGAGCTCTGCAGACACAACCATGAACAAGCGTTAATGCTCCGTGATGCACACACAAAGTCTAATAATGCACTATTAGTAAAATGATTTGATCTTTTTAAGTAGAATGTGCTCATGATTATCACTTATTATGGGACTTGCTTGAGGGACGTTTTTACAGTGTATGTGTCATAACCATCACTATGAAAAATACTCCAGAGCCCTGACTGCTAACATAATGGATACAGGTGAATATTATTGGGCCTAACCCATGGATCTATTATAACAGGGGAACCTAGTGATGGTGGAGGAACTCAAAACTGTGTAGAGATGGACAGTGATGGAGGTGGTATCATTATCAATGTTTATATGAAAGCAGTTGTTTTATCTGTTACAACGGTGAGGAAACAGTTTTTACTTTAAACACACAATAAACAAAACAATCTTATTTATGATTAACTTTTATATTACTGCTATTGATCTTATTAATAAACATTTCATATAATTACCTGTAAACTGTAAGATGGGGCACAGGGGTCAACGGAGAAGGAGGAGGAGGAGGAGGAGCAGCTATGGCAGCGACACAGGTGTGAGCTGCTATTGCTGATGTTTTAGTTCGAATGCACACATCAAAAACGTATTCTAATATTTAGTGCAGTGGATTTTGGGCTTAAAAAGCGTATGTTGTGGACAGAGTGTGTGGAGGCGATGACAGATACGTTCTTTGATGGGAAAGAAGTCCGCTGATCCCCTTATCATCCACAATGGACATGTGCTTATGTATTCTGTCATTATTCAATGGTAAACTAAAAATCCATGTGAAAAAAAAAATTACTTCTTACTGTTCTCAGGAAACATATTTATATGCGATTAAAATGCAATTAATTAATCGCAAAGCCTTTAATTAATTAGATTAATTTTTTTAATCAAGTCCTAGGCCTAGTATTTTCGTTTTACCTTGTTAATACAACGTTTTGTCACTCAATTGTCAATCATTCTGGTGATACGTGTTTGTCAAATAAGACCAGAGAGTTTTGTTCAAAAAGTGGAGGGCGGTTAGTTTGTAAAATTTGGAAAAATCCTCCTGTATACGTTTAATAAAGCCAAAAATAAGTTTGATATATCAGATTCAGATTCATTTATTTTCCATTTGCAGTAAAACCACATTGGAAAATTCATATATGTATAATTAAAATAAAAACCTTTCTTTTAAAGATAAATCTACTTCAATAATTCATGTTTTACTAATTGTATGATTATTTTAATATATATGCACTTTGATTTATCTTGTGTATAAAATGTTCTATACAAATAAAGTTGCATTACCTGTAGATCATTATTATCACACATAAACATTGTTGGTACAAGATGTTTATCATTGTCTACACAGAATTTTCCACTTCAGCCAAACGCTACCTTTGCATTTTGATATTTGCTAAAACAAAATGAAGCGAGTCTTTTTTTCAGCTCGATCCACAATGTTTCATTTGTCCACCAGGGGGCACTGTACACAGGAGAAGTAATTGTCCAGGTAAATGTATTTCAAATGATAAAATAATTAGGACAGCATTATCATCCTGTGATATATGGGCATTCAGAAACTGCAGACCGACAGAGCGACTGTTGCACAGAAAGTGACCAAGTGCAGAGATTGTCACAGTTTGGTTTCACATGAAAAGTGAGTTTATGGAAGTGTGTGACTTTTTACTCTACTTTCTGGAATGAGTCGTAAAACATCCTTGAAATTAGATTATATCTACCCAGGCCAATCTTATTCACTCAATTAAGTATTATGTAACACGTATGTCAGTTGATTTAGAGAAAACTTAAAATTTAGAAAATACTGGTTCAGATCAGAGAAAAGTGAGACAATACTTAATAAAGATGTTTTTTTCATTTTGTGATGATAGATAAGTACAAGTGAAATACAATACAGGAATATACAAAATATGTATATAAAAAGTTGGTTTGTTTTGCTGGAAGTGATAAGTAATAGTCCACTGTCAAAGTGTCATGCACAACGCAGCGGTGTAATATCCAGGTTTGAAACAGCGACAGAATTAAAGTAGAATGAGTCCAAAGTGTATGAATGTCCCAAAAGTGTTGGAAATGAGTTTTGGCTGCAGAGCCTCTTACACATCCACAGGATCAATGATGTAACTAGTACTCTACAAGCTCTCCTGAAGATAAGATAATGTTCGGATATACAGGACAGTAGTAAGAGCACACAGGGAGCACACAAAATATAGAAAATAAGTAGCTGCTTTGGTTCATAGCTAGCTGTAAATGCTTCAATATCAGTCCATCAAAATACCTTTATAAATAGTGCAAAGTTATAAACATATAGGGCAGGGTCATAAGTAGATAAAGTGACATTCAGGTGACATTCTGAAGTTGCAGTATTAGTAATAGTAGTAATCTTTATTTATTTATATACCGCCTTTTCACAGCAGATCTGAGTCTAAAAAAAAGGTTTACAATTGTTAATTTTGGGCATTTGTCTCTCACTCCACACAGAGATGGGAGCGGGGCCAGTACAGGAGGTGCATGCCAGAACTATTGTACATATTTTTTGTGGTAGGGGAAACCGGAGTACCCGGAGGAAACTTACGCAGACACGGGGAGAACATGCAAAATCCACTCAGAAAGGCCCTGGTCCGACCGGGTTTCGAACCCAAGACCTTCTTGCTGAGAGTGCTATCCACTCAGCCACCGTATTGCACATTGCACATTATTGCAGTATTTACTTATTTACAGATGAATGACATGTAGTGGCTCAGAAGTTCTTCCTGAAGCCCAGTATGGAAAACACCTGGCTGGTTCCTTGAGCAATTTAAGGCACACATCCACAACGATGTGTTGGATAAGGATGAAGACATCTTCAGCCAAACTCAGTCTCGTAAATAGATCCATGCTCGTGTCCCACCCATGGATCTATGGAGCCGGCAGCAGCTCTGCTTATGGCAGCTACACAAAACTTCTGCCCGAGACTGCCGCAAAGTATCAATTGATTTGAGTTACTATGGTAACAAGGAGAATTTGAATATGGGTTACAAGTAACTTAACAGCTATGTTTGGAATTGTTTAGTGACCTCGGTCAGTGGGACAGGAACTTTCATAAATGTCAAGTAAAGGTAGAGACATGCGTTTGTTTGACAGGAACAGGAACATTCATAAACATTACTGTAAATGCACCAGAATTATTCACAAGACTATTTTCCCTCGACTGATGTTGAAAAGCTCCCTCCACACTGAGGTCTGCACAACTCTCTGTTTACAGATGTTTTGTGCAGAGACTTCCTCTAATACAGACCTCCTTCACAAATGTCTCCAAGTCCACATCAGTCATAATGAGAGGACGGACCTGGTCTGGGACTTCTAGTTTAAGCAAATACTAAAAAAACAATTAAATCACTTTTTAAATATATACTTTCTTGAAGCATAATATAGCATGTGATAGTCTCTTCAGTTTTGAATATGAAAATGATTCCAAGGAACAGTTGTAAAAACATTGTAACCGTGTGTCATCTCATTTGTGTCGTCTCTTTGTTTCGTTCATTTACATTTGATCAAAAATAAACTCATTTGGGTGAGACATGAGTTTCCAGAGAATTCTCTGTAATACAAGTGTATCCAACACGCAGGGGGCAGAGAGCAGGCTTTAAAAGTTGAGTGATCTGCCTCACTGGTTTAGACCTGGTTCAGTCCTGCTTTAGTCTGGGGTTGGTTCTGGTTTTGTCCTGACACTGAAGACTTTTTTTGAGATGGATCAGACGTTGCTGCTCTCCGTGCTGCTGAGTGAGTTTTAGTTACTCTTATCACCCATCATCTGTACTTAGCAGGTTTTCCCGACGTTTCATCCTCAATCCAAAGGACTTCAGGGAATGAAATTAAGAAGTCCTTTGGATTGAGGACGACACTTCGGGAAAACCTGCTAAGAAGTACAGATGATGGGTGAGAAACCTTCCTTTGACTAATCCCTGTACGACTGAGGGCTTACACAAACTCACTCTTAATTATATTCATCTACTCCACATGTATCTTAGTGCTGTCAAACAAATAAAATACTTTATTGCGATTAATCACATGTCATTGTTAACTTACGATTAGTCACACATTTTTCAAATGTAATGGTGGGGGCTATGGATATTGTTGCGAAGTAGTGAGTGAACCAGAGGGGGTCTGTTGTAAATGGCTGATATGACCAGGTGAGAGCACACAGTTTGCCAAGGGAGGACAGGAGAACTGAAAGTTAAATATTTTATTACAAAAATAAAATGATAAAATTGTTCACGTTCAGAATACACTAATACTAAAAATCCATAAAAACAAGGCGGTTAAAAATACTTAAAAACAACAGTCCAAGAACGTGCGACGGACTGTCCTGGGGAGCGGTCCCTCTCCACACGCACCGGGTCACCTGGGAATACAAAACAAACGCCAGCACAGGGGTCCGACATTACAGGGCCTGAGGCTACGAGGGTGGAGTGTCGCTACAATACTTACACACAAGGCAGAGTTTCCTCTGCCCCTGCGTGTAGTCCACACAGTGTTGCCAACTTAGCGACTTTGTCGCTAGATTTAGCGACTTTTCAGACCCCTATAGCGACTTTTTTTCAAAAAAGCGACTAGCGACAAATCTAGCGACTTTTTCTGGTGTTATTGGCGACTTATCTGGTGTTTTGGAGACTCGTGAAGCACGTATCGTTCTGCTGTCCCTCAACGTGAGCCCCTCCCCCGTCCCAAAGCACTTACAGGCGGCCAGTCTCACAGTAGCCTTGCGCAGCAGTCCCAGCTACAGTCTATGGGCGGAGCAGAGAGAGAGAGAGGAGACTCAAAAGCACAGGAAGTTTTCAGGCTGCTGCAGACTGAACTTCAGCTCCACCACCACCACACATCCAAAGCTCCCCGGCCACTCCTACCACCGCCACCCCCCACTACCCCCCACTCCATCCGCGGCAGCTCTGTCCGTGACTCTGTTTTCTCTCAGTAGTGGGTCACATTAAATCATTTGTTATGCCAAACTATGAAAAAAAAAAAAAACTTACAAAAATAAACCTAAGTAACTCTGCCAGAGTGTGTCTTTTGGGTCACTTTGCCGGTCCCAAGCCCGGATAAAGGAGGAGGGTTGGTTGTAGAGCTAGCTTCACCCTACATAACAATCTTTTGATTACATTTTCTGTTATAACATTTAACAATACAGGACAAAACTGATGTGTGTAATGTGGATCTAGACAAAGCATTAAAATCATTAAATGTTGTTAATGTTGAAATTATTTTTGTACATTTGTAGTTCTAAACATATTTAGGGTGTTTTTACTCACTTTTGTCTCTCCCACGACCTTATTCCTCTCTCCTACAGCGTCCGTTACAGTTATTTGCAAATTGCAAATTATGCAAATTAGGCGATGACGTCATTTAGCGACTTCTAGCGACTTTTGGGACAGCCAATAGCTACTTTCCTTACTGAGGAGTTGGCAACACTGAGTCCACAACACTCCTTCACTCAGTCCCGATCCCTCCCGGCTGGCTCTTGTCCTGTGGACCCAGCGTGCGTGTCGTCCCCGGTGCATGTGGCGTCTCCCAATGGTGACAGTGGCCCGCGGCTCTGCTGCTCCCCTCGGCTCCGTACGTGCTCACACCTGTTCGTTTATCCGCCCTTTGTCCGCCACTTCATGCTCCCGATGTTGGGCGTCCTCGTCAGGTCCAAGGCGCAATCCCCTCGGGCCCACGGCCGCGGCTCTGCAACTCCTCCGACCTATCTCTCCGACCTCCCTCCTTCTTCTTCTTCTTCTTGTTGCAGTATTATTGGCGGGTGGCACTCAACTTTAAAGGTGCATTTCCGCCACCTACTGTACTGGAGTGTGAACCAGAGTTACTCTACTAACGTGTGTGTGCGTGCACGCACACACACCTATATATACACATATATCTATACCCACATACACCTACCCATATACACGCATATATCTACCTACTCACATATACACCCATGAACTACACTCTCCCTATAAGTCCTGCATCCTTTAAATATGCTATGATCTTTTTGACCTCCCTCCTTGTTGTGTTCCTCCTCTGTCTCTTATTGCTCCGTCTCGCGCCAGGCACAGGTGTGTCCAATCATGCAGTGATTGGACAAAGTCTCGTGGATGGGTCATGTGATAAACGGTGGTGGCAAGTCTTAAAATAAATAAATACACTGCAAAGATAAAACCAATATAAAAACACTACAAACACAGCACACAATGATAATAAATAAATATATAAAATGCCACTCGTGCCGGATTACACAAACATTTTACTTGACAAGTCTAATCTTCTAAACTGTCTAAATCCCATCATTTGAACTCCTGAAGATATGTTTAGTTTGTGTTTTCTCCCTGTAGGTCAGCTGTGTTGGTCAGTGTCTCTGGACTTTCAGTACCACTTTATAGATAAGAAGATGTCGTGGTCTGAGGCTCAGAGTCACTGCAGAGAGCAGCACACAGACCTGGCCTCAGTGAACGACATGAAGGACCTGAAGAACCTGAAGGCTGCTGCAAACGGACGCACGGACGCCTGGATCGGACTTCATCAAACCAGTGACAAACCCACAGACAGGAAATGGCACTGGTCTCAGCCCACAGTCAGATACAAGGAAGGAGAAGCTCAGTGGAAACAAGGGGAACCTAATGATTCTGGAGGAAATCAGAACTGTGTAGAGATGTACAGTGATGGCCTGTGGTATGATTATCAATGTTCATATGAAAGCGTTTGTTTTATCTGCTACAACGGTGAGGAAACAGTTCTTACTTTCAACACACATTATTAAACAAAACACATTTATGACCTTTATATTACTGTGTTATTAATCTCATTTATGAACAGTTCATGTTATTACTTGTAAAGTCAAAGATGTGGCACAGGGGTCAAAGTTTGTGTTAAATCGATTTAGTAATTTTAAAATGTATAGTTTTTTTTACCTTGTTATTACAATCTTTCCTTGTCATGATTTTATCCAAACTGTAATTTTCTTGCCTTAAAAACATCAGAAATCAGAAAAAAATTAGTTTTGCTTCTTTTACTTGCAATTATTCCAGATTTCTGACTTTGAATTCAATAGTTAGATAATATTAAGTAAGAGACATTTTTCATCATTAAAAGCACAAATCCAGTGCTGTAACTGAACTCATCTGCTGTTTATCAGTTCTGCAGATGTGAACAGGAAGACTTTGAACCTATTTCTATTTCAATAGTTTAATAATAGTAAAAACCCAACGACTGTAACATTTATCTCTGGACCTCAACATTTTCAGTCCTTAATAAAGATGAATAAAATAATATTGTCTTCTCTTGTTCCACAGACTCCTCCAACACTACTGTCATGATCAATAATGCCACAAACACAAGAACCTGGTCAGAGGCTCAGCAGTTCTGCAGAACTCACCACACTGACCTGATGAGTGGACTGGACCAGTACAAACTGTTTCAGGAACAGAACCCTTGGCCTTCTTCATGGTGTTGGATCGGTCTGTTCCGGGACACCTGGAGCTGGTCCGACAGAAGCGACTCCTCTTTCAGAAACTGGAACTCACACACATCGATAAATCCAAAGACAAAGAAATGTGCAGCACTAGGAGCCGAGGGCCGATGGGAGAGCGACGACTGTGGACTAAAGAAAAGCTTCATCTGTGAAGGAGGTAAGAGAACAAGCAACAACAATTCAAGTCATGGGAGAAAGAACGTGTTTTACTTCACTTGATTTAAGTCGGTTTGAAAATACAATATGGATGATACAGTTTTATTCTAGGCAAATTACACAGACAAACTTTATTATTTTTCAGCTCCGAAGACTTCAGGTCCAAAGAGAAAAAAGACTTTGGTGAAAATAAAAATTTCCTCACCAGTGGATCCCAACAAATTCAGCTCCGAAATATTGCAACAGGTTTGTGTAGTTAAGACTTTGAATATTTTCTGAAACATGACAACATTAAAACAGGAGCATTCAGAATCATCTTCTTCCTTCAGTGAAACTATGAAGAGGCTTCTCATGATCACAGATGTGAAAATGAAGGGAATAAACCCGTCACTATAGGGATGCACACATATGGACATTAGATGCAATATAATACTGATATTTTCAAACCAAAATTCACATTTCCAACAGGACAATAACGTTTACCTTCACCTTACGTACATTTCTTTACTTGGAATAATGAACCTTCTCCATTTTCTTTAGCTGCAAGAACAGTTTGAAGCGAACAACCTGGGAGACGTCAAACTGACCTGGAAGAAAGACAAAAACCAACCCGTTTTCAAAGAGCAAAAATCTTCCACAGAGAAAAAATCTTCCTCAAAGAAAAAATCTTCCTCAAAGAAAACGGAACTTTAAATGTGTGGTGCATTCGATTGAGCAGAGTGTGTGTCATGTTTCTCAGAGATGAACGCTCTAGAAGCAGTTTTTCATCACGTGTGAGTGTATTGTATGTATTTACTTGTGGGTGAGGGGTTTCTTGTTCATGGGATCAGGCCTAAAGAGCTGCTTTTACAACATCTCTGCACCTCCTGCTGATTCTTTATCATCTAGTATATTTACATCCATTGTGTGTGGTGTCATTTGTTCCATTCATTTAATCGACCCAAAAAAAAGTGTGATAATGTTTTTATGATGATGTGTTTAATTGTGTGGTTAACTAAAAGGCTTTGTATCTGCACTTTTCTTTTAAAGATAAATCTACTTCAATAATTTGTGTTTTTCTTGCTGTATGATTATTTTTAATATAGTCTGTGATGAACTTTGATTTCCTGAACGATAACTTTGCATTTTGATGTTTGCTATAACAAAATAAAGCTGATCTTTTGCCAGCTTGATCCACAATGCTTCATTTGTCCAACAGGGGGAGCTGTAGGTTAACTTAAACAGTAAAATTATATGTGGTAGGAGTAGTTCTTGTCCAGGTAAATCTAAGTGTAAAATAATTAGGACAACAATATGATTGTTTATTTCCCATACCTTTTATGATATAGGCTCATTATGAACCGATCTATGAGTTTTTAAGCGTCAGTTTTTTCCCCAGTGGCTGCATGAGTGGTCAGCATGGTCTCTACAATTCTATGGATCACTGGTTTGGAAGGTTTTCTCCCCTGCACCAGAAAACCTACAGAACAATGGATCTTGGAGCTCTGCAGACACAACCATGAACAAGCGTGGCTCCGTGATGCACACACAAAGTCTAATAATGCACTATTAGTAAAATGATTTGATCTTTTTAAGTAGAATGTGCTCATGATTATCACTTATTATGGGACTTGCTTGAGGGACGTTTTTACAGTGTATGTGTCATAACCATCACTATGAAAAATACTCCAGAGCCCTGACTGCTAACATAATGGATACAGGTGAATATTATTGGGCCTAACCCATGGATCTATTATAACAGGGGAACCTAGTGATGGTGGAGGAACTCAAAACTGTGTAGAGATGGACAGTGATGGAGGTGGTATCATTATCAATGTTTATATGAAAGCAGTTGTTTTATCTGTTACAACGGTGAGGAAACAGTTTTTACTTTAAACACACAATAAACAAAACAATCTTATTTATGAATAACTTTTATATTACTGCTATTGATCTTATTAATAAACATTTCATATCATTACCTGTAAACTGTAAGATGGGGCACAGGGGTCAACGGAGAAGGAGGAGGAGGAGGAGGAGCAGCTATGGCAGCGACACAGGTGTGAGCTGCTATTGCTGATGTTTTAGTTCGAATGCACACATCAAAAACGTATTCTAATATTTAGTGCAGTGGATTTTGGGCTTAAAAAGCGTATGTTGTGGACAGAGTGTGTGGAGGCGATGACAGATACGTTCTTTGATGGGAAAGAAGTCCGCTGATCCCCTTATCATCCACAATGGACATGTGCTTATGTATTCTGTCATTATTCAATGGTAAACTAAAAATCCATGTGAAAAAAAAAATTACTTCTTACTGTTCTCAGGAAACATATTTATATGCGATTAAAATGCAATTAATTAATCGCAAAGCCTTTAATTAATTAGATTATTTTTTTTAATCAAGTCCTAGGCCTAGTATTTTTGTTTTACCTTGTTAATACAATGTTTTTTCACTCAATTGTCAATCATTCTGGTGATACGTGTTTGTCAAATAAGACCAGAGAGTTTTGTTCAAAAAGTGGAGAGGGCTGTTAGTTTGTAAAATTTGGAAAAATCCTCCTGTATATATTTAATAGAGCCAAAATTAAGTTTGATATATCAGATTCATTTATTTACCATTTGCAGTAAGTAAGCTTTATTTAAGCTTTATTTATATACCGCCTTTCACAGACCAGAGTCACAAAGCGGTTTACAATTGTTATTTTTTGAGCACTTGTCCTCTCACTCCACAGAGATGGGAGCGGGGTCGCCGAACAGGAGGCGCATGCCATACCTATTGTACATATTTTTAGTGGCAGGGGAAACCGGAGTACCCGGAGGAAACCTACGCAGACACGGGGAGAACATGCAAACTCCACTCAGAAAGGCCCTGGTCCGGCCGGGATTCGAACCCAGGACCTTCTTGCTGAGAGGCGAGAGTGCTATCCACTCAGCCACCGTGCCGCCCAAAAACCAGTAAAACCACATTGCAAGATTCATATATGTATAATTAAAATAAAAACCTTTCTTTTAAATATAAATCTACTTCAATAATTCATGTTTTACTAATTGTATGATTATTTTAATATATATGCACTTTGATTTATCTTGTGTATAAAATGTTCTATACAAATAAAGTTGCATTACCTGTAGATCATTATTATCACACATAAACATTGTTGGTACAAGATGTTTATCATTGTCGCTAACTTTGCATTTTGATATTTGCTAAAACAAAATGAAGCGAGTCTTTTTTTCAGCTCGATCCACAATGTTTAATTTGTCCACCAGGGGGCACTGTACACAGGAGAAGTGATTGTTGTCCAGGTAAATGTATTTCAAATGATAAAATAATTAGGACAGCATTATCATCTTTTGTGATATATGGGCATTCAGAAACTGCAGACCAACAGAGCAACTGTTGCACAGAAAGTGACCAAGTGCAGAGATTGTCACAGTTTGGTTTCACATGAAAAGTGAGTTTATGGAAGTGTGTGACTTTTTACTCTACTTTCTGGAATGAGTCGTAAAACATCCTTGAAATTAGATTATATCTACCCAGGCCAATCTTATTTACTCAATTAGCTTCCGCACGAGACTGCCGCAAAGTATAACTTGATTTGAGTTACTATGGTAACAAGGAGAATTTGAATATGGGTTACAATTAACTTAACAGCTATGTTTGGAATTGTTCAGTTAACTTGGTCAGTGGGACAGGAACTTTCATAAATGTCAAGTAAAAGGTAGAGAGACATGTGTTTGTTTGACAGGAACAGGAACATTCATAAATATTACTAGAATTATTCACAAGACTAATTTCCCTAAAGGTGAAGGTGCACTTATTGATCCCTGTAGGGCAATTCAATCCTCTGCATTTGATCCTGATGCCCCTAAGGCTTACGTCAGGAGCAGTGGTCACTGTAGTACAGCGCCCAGGAACCAGTGGGGGCGGGTCCTGGCTCAAAAGTGGCCAAAATGACGTGCGCTGACATACTTGCAATACCACCCCGGGCCGATGGGGGTGGACGAGAATAAGAATTAACCAATGCTATCATATAGCATCTTCTGACCTCTCAAAAACACCTTTACAGTATGGTCCAAAAGTTGTCTCTTGGCCCAAAGCTCCGTTCCACATGTGTGTCAATGCTGAGGGGAGTTAATTTTTTTGGACCACTCTGGTTTACTCGCTGTGAATTTTTGAAAGAACTCGTGTAAATGAATGGAGCTCGTGTCGGCTGACGCATGCGCAGATGCGTTTTTTGAAAGCACAATTTTTGGCCCAATAGTTAGAACGCCGGAGATACAGTAGACGTGACTACGTCCGTTAATATGTACAGTCTATCCCAGGAACCCATCTCCAGATGTTGATGCTCGGCTTGGTCAGACTACCGGAGCTGGAGGATTTAACCTAGTGAGCATGTTTTTTGTGGTATAGGGGAAACTGGAGTACCCGAAGGAAACCTACACAAGCATGGGGAGAACATGAAAACTCCACTCAGAAAGACACCGGGATTCGAACCCAGGACCATTTTGCTGAGTGGCGAGAGTGCTATCCACTCATCCACCGTGCCACCGACTAATGTTGAAAAGCTCCCTCCACACTGAGGTCTGCACACCTCTCTGTTTACAGATGTTTTGTGCAGAGACTTCCTCTAATACAGACCTCCTTCACAAATGTCCCCAAGTCCACATCAGTCAAAATGAGAGGAAGGACCTGGTTGGGACCTGGTCTGGGACTTCTAGTTTAAGCAAATACTAAAAACAATAATTAATTCAGTACGTTTTTAATCATATACTTTCTTGAAGCATTATTTAATATGTGATAAATAGTCTCTTCTTCAGTTTTGAATATGAAAATGATTCCAAGGAACAGAGCAAAGTAGTAAGTAATCTTTATTTATATACCGCCTTTTCACTGCAGATCTGAGTCACAAAGCAGTTTACAATTGTTATTTTTGGGCATTTGTCTCTCACTCCACACAGAGATGGGAGCGGGGCCAGTACAGGAGGCGTATGCCAGAACTATTGTACATATTTT